TTCCGCTGAAAACCTTTGTCAACAGTGCCAGTGGTAACTCTATATCCCCGACCTTTGCCGACGTAATGTCTCAAGGTAATCAGGAACAGGCTGCCGATAAGCAAAAGAACACACACCAACACAATCAAAGCGACAGAAAGGTCTTTCGTACTTGCATCAATGTGTGACATCTTGGATATTACAATATCTGCAAAAATGGCCATATTTTAGTATTTGATATTGGCAATTGGATTCTTTTCTATATGTATAGTAGGAGTTAGCTTTCACAATTTGTCTACTTTGATTGGATTTTTGAAAAAGTTGAATAAATCGAATATGCTAATATATCTAATCTCTAAACTGAGTAGATTTTGGCCACTTTTGCCTGAACCAAAGTCCAAAAATGAATAAAAATGGCAAAAAGTAAAGGGTTTTAGCCTTTGCTTTTTTTTATCAAAAGTTAACGAGTTTGCCTCTATTTTTTGCCTGCTTTTCAAACAGAAAAACACTGGCAAAATATGACCAAAAAGGGCCAATCTCTTAACTTTTCTTTCTTCTTTCCCTTTTTCAATAATGAAATTCTCTTGAGTCTATATCCCACTGAACACACATTGGATTCTCTTGACTCAAAAAATAAAGGGTAATAGCTTAAGTTTTAGATTATTTTAGATATACAATCTTATTTAATTATTTATGATTATTTTGTGATTTCTTAGTTTGTTTTTGACACTTAATTTTATCAAAAAGTGACGAAAAATGGAATGAGAATAGTTCGTTCACCATTTTCACTTAAAAAATAAGTGTCAAAAACGTTGCTTTCTCATCATTTTTTGCGTGCCAAAAAGTAAAGGCTCAGGCCTTTAATTTTTGGCGACTTAATTTTTAAAATATAATTTGGTGATGAGAGTTCATGTAGAAATTAGTAAGTTTCCACGAATGGATAGACCTACTAGTCGAGTGGTAGTCTCTTGGTGTTGGATGAGGGAGTACTACGGATCGGTCCCTGTTGTAGTTAAAACCATTTTAATGTCAGGCATCGTTGTTAATTAATTCCGCCCGAGACGAGAATGAGTTAAGTAGAATAAAAAAAAAGTTAAAGCAAGTCTTGGTGAGATGGTCTAGTGGTAAGGATGGTCTACGGTTATAGCCTTAACTTTTCATCCATTTTTCTGGCCACTTATTTCATTGTTGAATAAGTGGCCAAAAATGACAAAAAAGTGAGGCTATAGTTTAACTTTTCGTCCATATCCAGCCACTTTTTCGATTTTTGAAAAAGGGCCGAAAATCGGAAAAAAGTAAGGATATACCCTTACTTTTTTGAGTTTACTTATAGAGTTTAAGCAAGTGTAGGTAGATTCCAAAAATGCAATGTTCAGACTGGTCCAAATAGGGCGTGATGTCATAATGTTCGAAAGAGCATGCATAATATTATTAACTTTCACGTCTGGAAAAACTAGCTTTTTATGTCCACGGACTGTCTATAGTTATGCAAGAATGAGGCATCGACAGAAAGCCTATTGACCGTAGATTCCAAAAATACAATTTTCAGACCGTGACAAATTCAAGTTTTTGCTACAAGGGGCCTTGAAATTCAATAGAACAAAAGGTTCGAAATAGCATAATATTAACTTTCACGTCTTTTTCGATTACACAGCTGAAAAAACTTGCTTTTTATCTCCACGTACGGCCTAGTGATGCCTGAATAAGGCATCGGCAGAAAGCCTATTGACCGTAGATTCCAAAAATACAATTTTGAGACTAGCCCAAATTCAAGACTGTGCTACAGGAGCCTTCAGATTCAAGAGGACATAAGGTTCGAAACAGCATAATATCAACTTTCACGTCTTTTTCAATTACACAGCTGAAAAAACTTGCTTTTTATGTTCACGAACTCTCTTGTTATGGAAGAATGAGGTATCGACAGAAAGCCTATTGACCGTAGATTCCAAAAATACAATTTTGAGACTAGCCCAAATTCAAGACTGTGCTACAGGAGCCTTCAGATTCAAGAGGACATAAGGTTCGAAACAGCATAATATTAACTTTCACGTCTTTTTCGATTACACAGCTGAAAAAACGTGCTTTTTATGTTCACGAACTCTCTTGTTATGGAAGAATGAGGCATCGACAGAAAGGCTATTGAACGTAGATTCGAAAAATACAATTTTCAGACCGTG